TCTCCTCTTCCAATCCCTTTCTGCTCTTTATCTTCTTCTATCTTTCAGGAGAATGTATCAATCCAACCCCAAAGACTCAGTCATCAGTGTTCATGGCTGTCATTCAAGATTGGAATTTTCTCAAATATAAATTAACATCATTATATCTTAACATTCTGCATAAATAGGAGTAGACTAGTTTAGGTGTGGGTGATTATTTGCGTCTGAAGCATTAACACAAATGCGAATCGAACAGAGGTCGTCACCGAAGATAAATGTTCGAACGTCATCAAGTGTGAGTGGTGTGCAAAGCGTTCTTCATTCATAAACATGGAGCTTGGCGGCTGCATGGAATTAACATTGGTCTGTGTAGATGAGGACAGGCTGGTGACAGACATGGTAACTCTGAAAACACACAAATTTGGCGGTAAAACAGTTTAATATTATACTTAATCACTCATTGGTCTCCCTCCCAATTAGCAATAAAAGACTTGATGGGTGTTTGATGTCATTTTTAATCACGGTCATATACACTGGGATCATCTAGCGGACATAAACAATATATAAAGTTGTTGTTGTTGATGAATTCGTCTTTGGGGTTGGCCGCTGGATGGAACGAACATAACCTGAGGACGGGGGGCAAACAGGGAAATTGGGAATAAACTCTGTATGCAGGGGGCATTTTTGCCTTCTAAAGCGAACCTCTTGGTAACTATTATGCAACCCGTCCTCGACTAGAGTCCATTACATCCAGCGGTCGATCCCACAGACGCGTTAATAAATTTTTACATGTTCTTCATTCAAAACGAGAATTTTCTCAAATATAAATTGATATTATACTATATTAGCATATTGTGCATATATAGGCATGGGTTAGGTTAGGTGTTTAGGTTCTGTTGAAGATTATTTGTATTTGTAGTACGTGGGTGAAGCATTTACAGCGCCGTGGTTCGAACAAAATTCATCAGTGAAGCACTTTTTCCTGAAGTGTTCGAACGTCATCAGTTGAGTCGTGTGTAAACCGTTTTCATTCATAAACAACTGGGGTTTGGCGGGTGCATGGAATGACTTTTGGGTCTTTGTTTGGAGGACGGGCTGATATTATGACGTAGTCATTTGGTTGTCGTCACTGTAAGGATCATATACGGTTCTCTCATTGATGGAGAGGAAATTTGATTATTTTTTCTAAACAATAAAAAACATCATGAAGTTGGGAAAAACCATTTGAAAATATAAAAGAATATGAACGAAGAAAAGTCCTGCAGTCAGCTGCTGCGCTCGGTAAGCTGGGCATTGTGGGAAATTGTCATCTCAATCTAATAGACTCTAAAGGAAACGTTTAAGCTCATAGAGTATATTTTGAAATTGGATTTTCCTCGCCACAAACCCTCAACAATATTCATTTTATGATATAACTCATTTGTATCTGCTTTATAATTATTTGTATTTAGTTGAGAGTAGTGAAGGTGTGTGTACTCGTCCAGAAGTACTTGCTGGGCCCAGAGCGCCGTCTTCCCAACGCTCTTAGTTTAATGCAATGACTCTTCTTGCGCTCTTACCTTATTTACATTCATTTTTTATATATAGTTAAATTCAGTGACTTCTGCGCCTAAGTTATTCCACTTATTGGCAGTTATAACACGAAAAAAGTTCTTTCTTACATTTGTACAACTCGTTTGTCTCAACAGTTTCCATCTATGACCCTTTGGTCAGCTGTTCCTAGCTTTGAACAATGCTGCTCTCTTTACTTTGTCAATTTTCCTTAGAACATTTTATGTCATTGTTTCCCTATTTCTCTTTCCCTGTATTTGATTGCTGCCGCCGGAGGCGGTTAGTTTATTGTGCATCCCATAGTCATCCTGTGAGCGGTAGCGCAAAAACAAAAATGCAGTGGGCACAAAAGGTCCTAATCAGACCTCAGCGGAAATCTTTACTCTAGTGTGGGAAGGTCCAGTTCCACCAGTCTTTCCTCGTAGCTCAAACTCTTGAGAGAGAGAGAGAGAGAGAGAGAGAGAGAGAGAGGGGGAGAGAGGGGGAGAGAGAGAGAGAGGGGGGGAGAGAGAGAGAGAGGGAGAGGGGAGAGAGAGAGAGAGAGAGAGAGAGAGAGGAGGGGAGAGAGAGAGAGGGGGAGAGAGAGAGAGAGGGGGAGAGAGGAGGGGGAGAGAGAGAGAGGGGGGAGAGAGAGAGGGGGGGGGGGGGAGAAGGGGGTGAAAGGAAGGTTAGGTGGGTAGGTACTGGGTTGAAGGGAGGGCGGCATGGAGGGAGGGAGGAAGGGAGAGGGAAGGAAGGAGTGAGATGGCCATTAGGTCGATTAGCTAGAAGGATGAGGAGAGTGCGGGAACATTGTTTACATTGAGGAGGTTGTGGACACTGCCCGGGGTGGGACTGTGGGCGGGCAACCAGAGCTTCTTGCCTCCCTACGCTCACTGATTAACAACTCGCTGGGACTGCTACACTCAACCCTCCAATGTCACTTGTCAACCAGGAGCTACATGACGGCAGAGAGGTGGGGGGGGGGGGGCAGAGGGCCAGGAATTAGCACCTTAGTGTGAGAAGAAACGAGAGTGTGTCACTTTGAAAATGGTATAGCAGATACAATATAGACAAAACCCAGACTACTTCACTGTCATATGAGGAGGAAAACAGTGAAAGAATAGGTAATGAAACTAGAGGACAAGGGAGGACATGCTAGCATAGAATGATATGGATGCGTGTGTGGAAGGAACTCGCCAAGAGATATTGCAAGAGGTTTTTATACAAAGAGCATAGGGAAGTGCCTGAACTAAGACTGTCAAACCAAGCAGCACTTGAGCACTTACCTGAGGTAAGGAGGCCTCTGCTGGGACTAGACACGACTAAAGCTTTTGGATCAGACAAAATTTCGCCATGGATACCAAAGGTATCAGAAGAACTAAAGAAAAGTGGAAGAAAGTAGATGTTCCAATATAGAAGACGGGAGATAAGACAGGAGGTACTAAGCTACAGGCCAGTGTCTAACTTGTATACCTTGCACAGTTATGGAGAGGACCGTGAGGAAGAGGCACGTAGCACATCTGGAGCGAAGGAACTTCATGACACCACCAGCACAAGTTCAGGGAATGTAAATCTGGTCTCACAAACTTCACAATATTACACACAGACAGACAGACAGACAGGCCGGCCAATGATGAACTCGCATCTGTGGAGAATTAGTTAGCGTGGTTAAGAATGGAGCGGAGGTGAGGAGAGTCATTAGTGGTATTGGCGGGCCGCTGCTCTGAGCTAATCACGCCAGCACCGCCACTCACACCTCATTTAATCAAGTAAAAGTGAGGTTAAGGCGGGCGGGTTTGGGTGGCCTCGGGCCTTCTATGTAGAATTTGGTGCGTGGAGTCGTAACGCCGTTGATGACGTCATCACTGGGTAAGGGACCGGCGTTATTATGGATTTATGAGAAAACGAGGCTGTTAGGTCAAGTCTAAATGAGGCGGACCATCGCCTGCTTCAATATTATGTGTTCCCTGTCGTTACTGTTACTTTATTGGCTAAGTTCATCACCGTCGTAGCTGTTTATTGCCATGTTACTGACGCCAGCACACTGTGAGGCTCCCCGCTGATGCCAGCACACTTTGAGGCTCTCTCCCCTGACGCCAGCACTGTGAGGCTCTCTACCCTGACGCCAGCACTGTGAGGCTCTCTCCCCTGACGCCAGCACACTGTGAGGCTCTCTACCCTGACGCCAGCACACTGTGAGGCTCTCTACCCTGTCGCCAGCACACTGTGAGGCTCTCTACCCTGACGCCAGCACACTGTGAGGCTCTCTACCCTGACGCCAGCACACTGTGAGGCTCTCTACCCTGACGCCAGCACACTGTGAGGCTCTCTACCCTGACGCCAGCACACTGTGAGGCTCTCTACCCTGACGCCAGCACACTGTGAGGCTCTCTACCCTGACGCCAGCACACTGTGAGGCTCTCTACCCTGACGCCAGCACACTGTGAGGCTCTCTACCCTGACGCCAGCACACTGTGAGGCTCTCTACCCTGACGCCAGCACACTGAGGCTCTCTACCCTGACGCCAGCACACTGTGAGGCTCTCTACCCTGACGCCAGCACACTGTGAGGCTCTACCCTGACGCCAGCACACTGTGAGGCTCTCTACCCTGACGCCAGCACTGTGAGGCGCTCTACCCTGACGCCAGCACACTGTGAGGCTCTCCCCTGACGCCAGCACTGTGAGGCTCTCTAACGTTGATTGCTTCAAACGAAACATTATTTGGGTTTATCACGGATCTCCCCCCCTTCCCCCCTTGAGTACCCTTGAAATGATTTCGGGGCTTCGGGTTTCGGTCCTCGACCAGGCCTCCTCGTTGCTGGACTGGTCAACTAGGCTGTTGGACGCGGCTGCTCACAGCCTAGTTTGTCTGGTATCCTTTGGAGGTGTTCGTCCAGTTCTCTCTTGAACACTGTGAGGGGTTGGCCAGTTATGTCCCTTATGTGTAGTGGAAGCGTGTTGAACAATCTCGGGCCTCTGATGTTGATAAAGTTCTCTCTCAGAGTACCTGTTGCACCTCTGCTTCTTAACGGGGGTATTCTGCACATCCTGCCATGCCTTCTGGTCTCATGTGATGTTATTTGTGTGTGCAGGTTTGGGACCAGCCCCTCTAATATTTTCCACGTGTAAATTATTATGTATCTCTCCCGCCTGATTTAGATACATATACAGATTTAGGCATTTAAGTCGGTCCCAATAGTTTAGGTGTTTTACGCTCCCCCACCCCAACCAGTTGGGCTGGACGGTAGAGCGACGGTCTCGCTTCATGCAGGTCGGCGTTCAATCCCCGACCGTCCAAGTGGTTGGCACCATTCTTTCACCCCGTCCCATCTCAAATAATTATCCTGACCCCTTCCCTGCGCTATATAGTCGTGATGGCTTGGCGCTTCCTCCTGATAGTTCCGTCCACCCAATCATATGTGTTCGTATAATACATGTTTACACCATGTTGGTGGCGACGGAGTACAGCGGGTGGTGACTGTTGCAGGTTGCTGGGGATGAACAGTGCACAGATGCAGAGTTCGGCAGAGTTGGCGCCCCACAGGTACCGCGAGGAGTGCAACAACCTCACCTACCTCGTGGCCAAGCAGAAGCAACTGTGTCGCCTCTCCCAGAACGTCCTTAAGGTTAGTGCTACAGGCGGGGGTGACAAGTCAGGCGGGGGTGACAACCCAGGCGGGGGGGGGGGGTGACAAGCCAGGCAGAGAGAGGGACTCTCAGCAGGACCCAAAGAGATGGAAGGTGAAGGGAGCACTAAGAATAAAGGTAACAGCTCCCAGTTAAGTAAAGTGACACACACACACACACACACACACACACACACACACACACACACACACACACACACACACACACACACACACACACACACACACACACACACACAGGCTGCGTGAACTGCACCTCACGTCGCTGGAAGAAAGAAGAGCTTGGAGAGACATGATCACCACATAATTCTCAGGGAAATTGACAGGGTAGACAAGGATGGATTATTTAACACGGGTGATACACGCTCAAGGGGACACAGGGGGAAGTTGAGTACCCAAATGAGCCACAGACACATTAGAAAGAAGTTTTCCAGTGTCAGAGTAGTTAGTAAATGGAATGCAATAGGAAGTAATGTG